CTCCTCTCCTCACCCCCACCCCTTCCCCGCCCACCTCTCCCTTCTCCCTCCTAACCCACCCCTGCCTCTCCTATCCCCTCCCCTCCCCTCCCCTACCCCACCCACCCACCCGCGGAGTCACGCACCAAAGAGGTGGATAAGTACAACAAACACACACAAACAAACACATCCGCGCGCGCCCCAGTTCGATAGCCTGCCGAGGGATGACACCTTAAGTGCCACGCATATTACGTGCCTTGGGGGAGGGGAGGGGGAGAGGGGAGAGGGGAGCGAGGGATGGAGAGAGGGAACGAGGGGTGGGGAGAGGGGTGGGGAGAGGGATGGGGAGAAAGGAACGAGGGGTAGGGAGAGGGGGGATGAGGGGTGGGGAAAGAGGAGTGAGCGGTGGGGAGAAAAGGGACGAGGGGTGGGGAGAGGGAAGAGAGGGGGGTGGGGAGAGGGGGCAAGGGGTAGGATGAGAGGAGCGAGGGGTGGGGAGGGGAGGAGGGAGTGTTTAGACGGGTGGGGAGGGAGGGGAGGGAGGGAAAGAGATAGAATAAGGCAAAGCTTTTGCCGAGGGAGGGGGGGGGGGAAGGAGAGGAGGTGGAAGGAAGAAAGAGGACGAGTGCGAGTGCGAGTGCGAGGGGGGGGGAGGAGGAGGAGGAGGAGGAGGAGGAGGAGGAGGAGGAGGAGGAGGAGGAGGAGGAGGAGGAGGAGGAGGAGGAGAAGGAGGAGGAAGAGGAGGAGGAAGGAAAGAGGAGGAGCAGGAGGAGGAGGAGGAGGAGGAGGAGGAGGAGGAGGAGGTGGAGGAGGTGGAGGTGGAGGAGGAAAAGGTGGAGGAGGAGGAGGAGAAGAAAAAAAAGTGTGAATAGTTAAAGGTGGAGGAAGGGAGGAAAAAACAGGTGGAGGGCACCGCCGACAGGAAAAAAATAAATTTGAGATTACAGGAAATGAGAAAATACAGATAAGGTGAAAAGAATCCAACGACAAATAGAAAGAAAGAGTGAGAGGCAAAGAATGAGAGTAAAAAAGACAGAGAGACAGAGAGAAAGAAAGATGAAGAGGTCGAGAAGAGGGAGAGAGGGAAAGAAAGGGGGTGAGAGAGGGAGAAATGGAGGGAGAGGGAGAGGGAAAGGGAGAAAGTGAGTAAGAGAGAGAGGTATAGAAAGAGGGAGAAGAGTAAGGAGAGGAAGAGAGGGAGGGGAGGGAGATTGGGAGAAGAAGTGATGGAGAGCGAGAACAAGAGGAAAAGGGGAGAGGAAGAGAAGGAGAAGGAGCAAGGGGGAGAGGAAAAGAGAGATGAAGGGGGGAGAGGGAAAGAGAGATGATGAGGGACCGGAAAAGAGGAAGAGGAATGAAGAGGAAGGGGGAATAGACGATAGGACAACAAACCCATCGCTTCCCAACCATCTTTCCTCGTCCACTTCATCTTACCTTGAAATCCTTCAACTCTTAAAAAGTTTCAACCCTCAAACTCTCCAACTCTCCAACAATCCTCCCCTCCGTCCTTCTATCTCTCTCTTTTCTCTCCTTCTCACACCCTCTCCCCACTCCCTCTCTACCTTTCCTCTTCTCTCTCTCTCTCTCTTCAATCTTCACCCTTCTCCTTTTCCCCATACCCTCTCCTTCTCCCACTCACTCTCCCTCTTTTCCTCTCCTCCCTCATCCTTCTCCCTCTTTCTCTTCCTCTTCATTCTTCACTCTTCGCCTTTTCCCCATACCCTCTCCTTCTCCCATTCCCTCTCCCTCTTTCCTCATCTCCCTCTCCACCTCTCCTCTCCTCCCTCTCTCTCCTCATCCGTCTCCCTCTCCTCTCTCCCTTCTTCCCTCTCTTCCCTCTCTCCTTTTCCCCATACCCTCTCCTTCTCCCTCTCCTCTTTCCTCTTCTCCCTCTCCACCTCTCCTCTCCTCCCTCTCCCTCCTCATCCTTCTCCCTCTCCCCTCTCCCTTCTTCCCTTTCCTCCCTCTCTCCTAATTTCGCATTCATCGGTGCGTTCGCGTGCCCCCCTCTTTCTCCATATTCAATAATCCGCGCTTGCCATCTTTGTCTTCGCCCTGAGACGCGGGAGGTCGTTCTTCCTCTCTCGCCCCCCCACTGCCCTCCCCCGTCCCCCTCCCCTCGCATCTGCCCCCCCTCCCCCTCCCCTCGCGTCTGCCCCCCCCCTCCCCCTCCTCTCTTTTCTCTTTCTGCTTTCCGCTGCCCTTTTATCTTTTTCTTTTTTTCGGCTTTCTACCTTCCGCTTTCCATATATATCTCTTTCTCTTTGCCTTCTTTTCTTTGACAATTGTCCGTGTTTTTTTCTGTTCTTTCTTCCTTAATTTTTTTTATTTTGTCTTACTATTATTTAACAGTTTGTGTGCGTGTTTCTTTGGCACGTTTGTTTTACTCCATTTATTTTCTATCTCATATGATTAGTTCGTCCTTTTTACTTTCATAATTCCATTCTTCTCTTCATCTTCTATCTTCCCCATTTGCTTCCACTCCTGTTTTTTTTTATTCCTCCCCGCGCTTCTCTCCTTTGTTCCCTCTTCCTTATTCCTTATTACCAACCCCCTCATTCCGCACAAGGCCTCCTCGCCCCCCTCCCTCCCCCCCCCCATCCGGAAAATGACCTCCTCGTTACGCCTCGTCCCCATAAAGCTTCATTATCCTCATCTCATAACACATTATCGTTCCCTCGTCACGTCCCCTCAAGTAACCTCCTGCCGAACAGCGACCCTCACCCACCGCCACCTAATGACACCGCCGCCTCGTCTCTCCCCTCGTGGCACCCCCCCCCCCCTCGTGGCACCCCTTCCCTCCCTTCGTGGCACCCCCCCTCCCTTTGTGGCATCCCTCCCCCTCGTGGCACCCCCTCCCCCTTCGTGGCACCCCCCTCCCTTCGTGGCATCCCTCCCCCTCGTGGCACCCCCCTCCCTTCGTGGCATCCCTCCCCCTCGTGGCATCCCTCCCCTCGTGGCACCCCCCAACTCGTGGCACCCGCCCACTCGTGGCATCCCTCCCCCCTCGTGGCATCTCTCCCCCTCGTGGCACCCCCCCCCTCGTGGCATCCCTCCCCCCTCGTGGCATCTCTCCCCCTCGTGGCACCCCCCCCCCCTCGTGGCATCCCTCCCGTCGACTGCTTCACGGCCTCCCCTCAACTCTCACGGCCTCCCCTCAACTCTCACGCCCGCGAGGACCAACTGGCAAATTTACCTTGTTCTTATAGGCCTTCCAACTCACTCTCTCTCTCTCTCTCTCTCTCTCTCTCTCTCTCTCTCTCTCTCTCTCTCTCTCTCTCTCTCTCTCTCTCTCTCTCCTCTCTCTCTCTCCTCTCTCTCTCTCCTCTCTCTCTCTCCTCTCTCTCTCTCTCCTCTCTCTCTCTCTCCTCTCTCTCTCTCTCTCTCTCTCTCTCTCTCTCTCTCTCTCTCTCTCTCTCTCTCTCTCTCTCTCTCTCTCTCTCTCTCTCTCTTCTTCGCTCTTTCCCTCCTCATAATTCTTCTCGCTGCCTTCGCCTTGCTCCCATAAGCTCCTCGCTATTCACGCGCATTTGCTTCCGTCTTGCATAGTAAATGCTCCTTACTCTTCTCCCTCTCTCATAATTGCCTCCTTTATCTTCTCCATCTCCCCCACCTCCTCTCTCTCTCCTCCCACCTCCTCTTTCTCCTCCTCCCAACAGAATTACAACTGGACAGCCTCCTCCTCATAACTTCCCTAGGCCTCTCATATTTGCCTCCTGCTGCACCTCATTCCCTACCCCCCCCCCCCAACTTTTGCCCTCCTCGTTCTCCCCGCCGCCCCCCTCCCACCCTCTCCGACCCCCCCCCCCCTTTCCTCCCTTCCCCTCGAACCACCTGTGTTGGAAATAGGCCTACCGGTACTACCCTCTTCTTGGCACCTGTGTAGTGCCGCCGCCGAACCTTCTACCTGGCACCTCTCGCCCATGACCTTCCCGTCTTCCCTACATCCCGTCATCCCCTATTACCCCCCCCCCTCTCTCTTTCTTCTCCCGTAAATACTTCCTCCCTTCACCCCCCCCCCCCCCACCCCATGTCGAGCCTTCCTTCCCTCCTGGCATGCCTCTCCTTAACCAAGCGCTTAAGGAGAGACATCCCCTATTATGGCAACGCCCCCTCCCCCCGCACCCACCATCTCCTTCCCCACGAGTAAAAACTAAATCTTTGTACTCTATTTGGCAATAAAGCACTGAATCATCTGTTATCCACAGTATCCTATACTATTCCCTCTACCTTACTATACTTGAACACCACTGCAGTATTACACTGTAACACCCTGTCTTGAATAGCAGTCTAACACCACGTTAATATCATTCCTATCTTAATACCATTTATTGCAACATAGCACTATCTTAAAACTGATTACTGCAACACATCTTTGCATTCCCTAAAACTCTACCAATATCTTGCAGTTAACAACAGCACCTGAACTGTAATGGAACCTAACGCAATCTAGCAACCCTTACTCCTGCATAATTTCTTGAACCTCAACGCTATCTCTTTACGGGTCATAATTTCCGAAAGCCAACAACAACCCCATAAAGCAACAGTAATTCTGCAGCATGTATAATCCCTGGTGCCCCTTTCCCCAGTGCAGCATCATTACGGCGAGTCTCTTCCTTCACAGCACTACTTCCCTGGGATTTTCCTTTGTTTACGCTTCCCCCTTCGCACTGCCCTTTTTAGCCCAACAATTTGACACAACCAAATCTACACTTCTTCCCAATGGCACTATTTCCATGTCAGTGCTTTCTTTTATTTTTTTTTCTGTCCCTTTTGCTAAACCATTACACTTCAGTCGTAGGCCACCTGACACATTAATTTCCTGATTAAATTTTTACACTTACAAGGTATTCCTACGTCATGGGTTCTGAACTTCATAAATATCCCTCATTCACATTCGCTTTCATCCTTCCAAATGGTATTCATTCTTCTTGGTAAATAACAAACAAGAAATTTCAAACTCCTAAAACTGGAAAACCCCAAAGAAGAAGAAAGAAAAATATGCCTCATTTCAAACTTACCTTATCGGAGTCTGTATTCGAGGACGAGTACGATGCCAAAGAGTTGCGGTCTGTATTCTCCGCACTCTCGTCGATGGATTCCTCCAAGTCCCTGTGATGAAGGAGGTGGGCTCATTAAATCTAACATACATGTTGAAAATTTTCTTTTTCTTTTATATGACAAAGTGACCCATGCAACTCACTAACACACATTAAAAGTTTTCCTTTTTTTTATGACAATGAGTGACACATCTGAATTAGTTTATAGTGCACACCTAAATTATACACTATCATCAAATATGCTTATACAGTACTTTTATCCTGGACTACACTAAATATGTCTATATACATAAAATTTGACATACATTAACAATCATCATTATTTTATCTACATCTTGTACAATCCAAATATTCATCTGGCAAGTACCAGACAACCACAAAACAAACAAATCTAACAATACGTACCTGCTGGCTCGGTTTTGCTTTGGTGTCTTGGCCGGTGACTTTGCAGGAGTAAGGGGAAGAGCGGAGCTGAGATAAGTCTCCTGTATCACTTCTCTCAACTTCCTCACCCACGTCTGTTTCACTTCCAGGGTGTTGGCTCGCAGAATCATCTAAGTGGAAATCATAAGAGAAAATGCTGGTTAAGACTCCTCAGTAAATGTACTTATCATTTCTCATTAATATTACCCAGCTATATCATCATACAATCAAGTACAGCACTGCTAAATATATTTCTTCACTTTGCATAGAGCTCTGTGTGATTGCTTCAAAATTCTAATACTCATCACAAAAGTAATACAAAACAATATCATTAGTTTTAAAATACTCCTACTCCTGTAAGAGTCTCTCTTTCATCTACCCTAATATTTATTTCTGCACATATGTATGCATTGCAGAGTCTCAAATTATGGCAACACATGAGTTGTGAATACAATGATGAAATCTAGTTTTCACATTTCCCTATACATTTTGATATGCTATTAACATCATATAAGCTAATATGTATAGGAAATGTTGTTTGTGGTAACAATAATAATAGGACTAAAGTCTCTCAAAATAAGTAAGGACTAAAGTCTCTCAAAATAAGTAACAAATATCAAAGAGGTCAATGAGAAAAAGTGATAAAATATACACACCTTGCCATCACTAACTCCTGTGCGAGCTGTCCACACAGCAAATTTACACTCATCCCCTTCAATGTGCTCTGTTACACCCAGCTCAGATGTAACCAGTCGCTGTTTATATGCATATTTGGTCTTGTTGCCACTAGGATCACGAACTTCTTTGCAGAATAACAGGTACAAGTCGAAGAGGAAAATGTGCCGCTCTCGACCCTTTCTGATAAGCTGGCGAGGGTCCCACACCTGAAGGAAAGTAAAGAATTGGGAATGAGTCACTCAACAATGCTAAAAACTTCAATTATAAAACCTCCTCAATAAATAACAGATGATGTAGACCAAACAGTTTGCAATATTCAAATCATAAATATTCCTATCCTCAAAAGTAATTCCTACCTGGAAGGTGTCTTGCAGAATGACTTCTCCCAAGGAGTCTGTTGGAACATCACAGCCATCAAGCATGGATAAGTGGAGGGCATCATTCGCCTTCTTTGGGACATTTTGCATAACTTCTAAACCGTCTTTGATTTCCCCTTGGTTTTCATCTTCACAACACGAGAGTAATTCTTTCAATAAGAGTTGATACTTGGTGATGCGCTGAACTGGCTTGATCAGGTACGCAGGAATGGGGTGCTCAACATTGTGCTTGCGCTGAACTTCTTCATAGAAGGTCCCAGCATGGCTGACTAGCATGCGATTGGACTCTGGCTGTGCCTTGCAGTATTTCACATAAATGTCGAACTGAGGGGCCCAAGTCACAAAGCAATGGCCAACATCCTCTGGCATGCATTGATACTTCTCAATTTCTTGGAGGAATGTGTTCTTGTGGAATTCTAGGATCTCCTCCATATTGCAGAAGATGATGCTATCTTTGCCCTGAAGCCCACCTGGGGCGGAGGGTTGTCGTGTCTCAAAGAGATATGTCTTTGTACATACTTCCAGATCTTTGACATACACTCTTTCTGTCTGCAACAATTCCCTCATGATGAGTTCCTTCTTTCTGGCAGATTTTCGTTTTTCCTCACTCATTTCCTTATTTGCCACAGTGACAACTGCATGAACTTTGTTTTCAAGAGAAGGATCACTGTGACGATCTAAGGAAAGAGAGGCTTTACTATCCTCACTCTGGATTCCTAATCTGCTCTCTAGCTGCATGCGGTACTTATCCATGCGACCTGAGAAGTTCTTGTAGGCCTGATCAACACGAGCAACCCAGTCTTTGATGGCGGCTGCATGTGCATGGCCTTTCTCAACCAAGGAGTCAGCCAGGAGCAACAGTAACTTTACACGTTCCCTTGTGTCCTTCGCTGTTCCTTTGAATTCATTATGTTCTTTCAAAATCTTCTCCGTTTCCTCTTTGGTTTCTCCTAGGCTCGTGTGAGTGGACAGGTACATTTCTCCTGTCTCCATTATCCAATCTAATGCTTGCTTGGCTGATCCCTCGAATAATACATACTGCTGGCACTGGTCCAGTTTCTTCTTCTTTTGGGTCCAGTGGTCAAGCACCTTGTTCTCCTGAGCCATGAGATTCTCCAGAATGCCTCTCACTTTAGCCTCTGGCCCTCGTAATCCCACGTCACCCTTCATGCTGTAATAATGCTGAGATCGGTTGGCGTACTTCAGGAAGGTCTCGGCGGTTCGCCTGGCCAAGGTGCAAGCTTTAAGGAAGCCTTCCTTCTGTTCCTGATGCTTATTTATGATAAGTGAGATTCCAGCGGCCCGGTCTGAGCCCGCCTGCCCTCCCTGACCAGTCCCTTGCTGCTGCTGGTCCTGTTGTTTATCTCCCTGACTGACACTGGTGCCTGGCGGAGGCACTTCCTTCTGACACCAGTCCTCATCGCGGCGGTAGTCTCGTTCAAGGCTTTCCAGTACAGAGCATACTTGCTCAGCTGTCTTATAAAATGTGATTGATGCCTGGACTAGCTTGTACCTGCAAATACAAAAAAAGCATATCTTATGCTTCGACATAGTTATTGGTCTTAGATCTAAAGATAAATTCATACAAAAAATAAATGCTTGAATTATACCACTTAAAATTACATACAATGTTCTTTTTCCCCCATTCCAGATTATCAATTAAGCACCCATTTCTTTCATCTGTACATCATTTCATGAATGACAATACTGACCTATCCTCAGCACAAGTAACAAGCTTTTCCCATCTCTTTGTGACATTAGATTCTATTTCCATGACTTGTTCTGGACTGTAGTGCTTAGCCATAAGAAGAGCTGAAGAACGTTGCCGAGTCTGCACCACTGCAGCATGGGTTTTCTCTATGGCAACCTGTGAATACATTCCAAGAAAAAAATTGGTTATATTCTATTTCCTTCTAGAAGCATAATGTATCAACACTGACATCCATCAAAAGTAGAAGAAATCAATAGGTATGAACTCAAACAAAGCTCACATACATTCAGCATTTTGTTTCACCTTACCTGGAACTGCTCGTGGTCATGAGATAATGCATTTGACTCAGCAAGAGAGCTTGGAATGGTGAAACTTGCTGCTAGTACAGCCTCTCCATTCCTTATCCAGCTTATCACCTAAGGAAAAAGTTACACATCTTTTACAAAACGAACTATATATTAATATTACTATTAAAACTACCACACTGCAACACATCCCAAGTCTTGCCAACGAAAAATATAAATGCATATATCAAAATAAACACCCATTTCTAGTACATCAGAAAAGAAAAACACATAAACCTGTAAATCCCTGCAGCACACAAAAAGGCCTACCTGGTTGGCTTCATTCTCAAACTGCAGCAAGTGGATGCACTGCTCCAGCTTGACCCTCTTCATGTCTACCAGCACTTCCACATCCATCTGCCGTTCTCTGATGCACTCTAAGAGCATGGAGACCTTGGTAGTGCCATCAGACTCAGCGTCAGCACGGATCTGGATGCCTGATGTCTCCAGCAACTGTGGATATTAACATCAAATAGAGTACATGTACAGAAGAATGACAAAGTACCAGAATTTATCAACTTAAAAAATTACACACTAAGTTAATATACAAAACACTTTAGCTTTTCTTTTACTGTTTGCTCAAAATGCTACTTTTGCAGTCAGACCTAAACAAGCAGTTTAGGCATAAAATACCTGTCACCTGGCATTTGAGCCCAGGTTGCCATGATACAATTAGAAGTCCCACAATGAGAAAGGGTTAAATACTTTTTTTTTATATACACAAGTAAATATTAGAGTAAGAACTTACTTGTAGAAGTTCCTGACCACTCTGCATGACCTGGTAAGTGCCATTTTGCATGTGTGAGGTGGAGTCATTGTGCAGGGCAAGCATCTGTTCAGCTTCGGTGATGTCTCGCCCAAACTCCGTGTTCTGAAGTTCCTCAGCCCACAAGTCTAACTGGCTTAGGAGCTGGTGGAAAGTACATTCTTATGATGAAAATGGAAACACATCATCTTCCTAATGCAATAAAACTTTTAAAAACTTATAGCGCATCTAATAAATCATCTAAATGAAATGTTCTTCAGAATATCCTTATTTCAAGTGGATTTACTTGAATCTTATTTTTCTTTTTTGGTTTTCCTTTTTAAGTGGTAAACAATCTTGAGTCTATCTATAAAGAAAGGAAGAAGATGAAGAAGAAGAAGAAGAAGAAGAAGAAGAAGAAGAAGAAAAAAAAAACCCTGTTCCTCACCTCCACAGCATCTCTCTGGAACAGTCTCAGTTGAAGCAAGAGATCGAGGCGGAGCTTCCGAGTGGCCCAAAGGCTTTCTAATTCATCTCGTTTCTTGACTAGTCGCTCAAGGGCTTCCTCTACCCCCTCTACAGAGCCACATCCTGAGTCGGCAGTTACACTTGCTGACCTGTTGAAAGCATGAAATTGTCTTGATGTATAAACATGTATATATGCCTGATCATGGATATGCATAAAATCATACATATGCAATTACATTAAAAAAAAACATTTTTAACCAGAAATATGTAAATAAAAAAAAAAAGGAAAAGAAAAAGAAAAAACAGCCAAAATGCCATACCTGAGTTCATTAAGGAGCCCCTCTCCCTCGTGAGTAGTGGAGACGCATG